GGGTGCTGAGCTGACCTTCCTTCGGGGGGGTGCCTTTTCGCACCATTACCTGCAGGCTTTCGTCGATTATGGCCGCCACTGACTGATCGCCGCTTGGTAACATGCCACTGGACTTGTAAGTGCAACCAGTTGAACGGGTTGTGCCACAAGAAAGGTCTTTTCCACGGCATGCCGCATAGCTACGCCACTCCACTTGACAGGGATGCAGCCGACGTTGGAGCGTTGCGATACTCCTGACCTGCACCGTGACCATGATTTTGCCGCACTGGGGTGTGGCCGCTGGTCACTTGTAATTGTGAAGTGAAGTCCCTTTGAAGCCTTTTTGTGACTTTGCTTGAGCACAGACCTGCGCCGATATGCTTTTCGTTCGTGAATTCAGGCCCATTTCTAGACACTCTTTTTCGTTTCACCTGTTTCACCTAGCACAGAGGAAAGACTACATGATGGTGGAGACTCGGCCTGTGGGCTTTTGGTTGTTTGTTTTGGGTTGTGTTGGGTCTCCTTGTTCTTTTCTCCACCATCAGACTGTTCTTCCCTCCCTTCAACGATGACCTGGGCACCATGCCCACACGGCGTCCGTACTCGTGGAAAAAAAGGCAGAATTGGCATTTGGAGTGACAGCCCAGAGCCTCCCAACTGTTCCGTTAGTGAGCACTTAGCCAAGCCAATCCGGGAGTCCCATCTCCCTGACCTTTGCGCAAGCTTTGCTACCGATGCGCAGCAGCGCTTAGATTGTCGTCGGGGCAGCTTCTCATAAAGTCCTCCCACTCTTTCACAGCAGCTTAGCGCACGTCTCGAAAGCATCATATTCAGCAGAAGTGCCCCGTCACGTTCCTTTCTTGCCCATTCGTGTACAACCTGCGAAAGCTCGCTTGTTTATATGGAGCAGAGCAGGTGGAGTGTGTATTTCTTCCAAGGAAGTGCATCTTAGGAAGGCTTCACGCTCGATGCGTCTCAGTGTCTTGGCCAACTTGAGATGTTGCAGTTGGGAGCAACGTGCGAAGGTGCCTCCCAGGATTTCATTAATTTCGGTCCGTGAAATGTCCACTGTCTGCAGCTTGAAGTGAAAGCCCATCCAACTGCACTCTTGTGGCGCATCTCGGAGCTCGTGCGAACGATTTGCCTTCCCAGCCCAAGAGGTGGTCAGGGATGGGTACAGTGTACAGATAACTAGTACCAGGAATAGCGGCGTTTCACCGTTTCACATAGTTCATGGGGCTTGCATGTTCTTGAACTCCGGTGCACTCGTGAGACCATGGAAGGAAGTATAACCTCCCGCGGCTCGACCGCCTTGCAACGAATGCGCTCACTCACGGTTGATTTGCGCTCTGGAAGTGGTCGGTGTGGCGCATCCTGCCACGCCGTGAGACCATCTGCACTTGTCGATGGTCCCGTTTTTTGATACTGCTACCTGGGTGCAAGATCTCATCACCTCTCCCCTTGGGGGGGGGGGAGGGGGACTTCGTAGCTACCTCCGGATTTTCTAAAAGCCGCGGCTTGCCAGCTGCAGATCTTATGGGATCTTTCACTCGTTCATATTCGCATGCTCTTCCCAAGGGTCTCAAGTGCCATGCCTCTCATGACCTGGCACAGAGGCCGGAATAGAGCCAGGGTCCAAGTGATCAAGTTTGCTCGTTACAACACCCTGGGTAGTTTTGTCTTGGCTCGTCCCGCATGTAGTGAGGTAGAGATGCTTACTGTCTATCCTGCCTCTCGCTTTTGCACATATCTGACATCGTACAATTCGCAAGCAAAGGCCAAGAGCAAGTGGAATTTTGTTCCGCAAACAGCCCAGAGCAAGCTGGAATTTTGTAACGCAAGCATTGAGGAGCATTCGTCACAGTGGAGGCCAATTAGGAGCTCTTCAATTTAGCATAGGCTCGGTCGTGATCTTTGACACAAGTTCCGTCTTGCCTGGCTCCGAAACTGGCCTAGAAAGCAACTCACACTTGCATCCAGTCTTGCTCGACAATGACTGAGGGCACAACACCCCCTCGTTGAAACACCAGCTACCCAAGAGGCAGGAAGCTGTTCGATGATGGACATCTTGTACTGAGTGCTGCTAGGATCTTGAATTCACTGCCCCGTCTCACCTACGTGTTAGATCTCTGGATCTTCACTTTTTTCTCACATTCGGTTTCCTTTGGGGGGTTGCTTGGGTGTGCTTGTTTGTTTTGGTGTTTGGGCCTTGGTGGTTTGGCCTCTTTGGTTCTGGCTCGTATCCTCTCATCCGACTCTTCGAATTCATCTAAGGTGACTTGTGCCTCTCGGCACACATAGCGCCCGTACCCGTGCAAAAAAAAGGAAGATGGAAGAGAGCGAGACGGGAGGTGGGGGGCTTCAGCCGGTCCAAGCGTCACAGCTGGACTCGTTGGACGCTCTTCATGGCTCAAAAACAAGGCTTGAAGAAAACCCCACAATACAGTTCTCGTCTCTCTCACAGCGTCTGCCCTTCACCCTCAGGACCTCGGCGCGAGCTTCTTTTCGATCCCGCTCCTTAAGCCAAAGTCACAGTCGGTGTAGACTCTCTCAAACGTGCTCAGAGCTTCTCTTAAGCTTGTCGACTCTTCTTGAAAGAGTACAAGACGATCCATAGTTGTCAAAGCTGCACTTCATGCAATGTCATGTTTGCTTGCTTTGCTGCAGTTCGTTGGAACCAGTGGTTTTGGCCAAATGGATTGTTGAACAGTTGGGGGCTGTGGCTGGACGTTCATCTGCCTGGAACATCGCATCGATGGACTCTCGTTGTTCGACGGTTGGGACCTCAAAAACTTTTGCTTTTGGGTCCCACTGATGAGACAGACTTCAAGAAGTCAGCACTGTGACACCACAAAACCTGGTCTCTGAGAGATCCTTGTTGTTGAGCTTGAGCTTGCTTGTTGTCTTGCTTCTTTGATCTTGGTTGATTTCCCTTGCAATTTCTCAAAAGAATCAGCCAGGCAACGGAGTGTGATTCTTTGGAGGTGCACTTTTTGCCACACGCTCGCATCTTTCAGCCTGGAGATCAATGCCAATTGCATCCAATGGCAATGCCTTCATAATCCTTCATCAAAAGTGAGCATGTCATAACATCACAATGTTCAATGATGATCACTCTTCATCACTCTTCAAACATTTTCCGTTTTTTGCAATGATATGCACATATTTTCCTTATCATCCACCATAACAGCAGGTGCAGAGAAACCACCTCAAGCCTTTGAGGTGTTGCAAACCACGAGGTGCTACAGTGGTGTGCGCGTTGTGCTCAACGTGTTCTGATTTTTTTGGGCCAGTGCCCAATGTGTGTTGGCAGAGTCCTGATTCTTTTGAGCTGACATGTTGGTATGGGCACTGTGGATTGAGGATTCTTTGAGGTGGCATGTGGCAGTGGCCACCATGGCCTCCTGAAGAATCAGACAGTCCAAGAGGGACAGGAGTTGAGATCTTAGTTGATGCTTGATCCTTAGTTGCTAAGAGAAAACGAAGAGAAGAGAAGAAGAAGGCAGAAAGAAACAGAAGACGGACGAGGTGACCCAAGAAGGGGTGTGAAAAGTAGTGGGTTGCACGCCTGTACGGTGTGTGGATCACCTAGTATTTGTTTCCAGTGGAACTTTTCGTTGGGGTTGGAGCTGGATGGGGATCTTCCTCTTTTGGATGTGTTCTCTTTGACCTCCTTAGCACGACAAGGTGGAATGTGACCAAGAGTGGCTGGGAACACCTTTAGAGAAGCACTGGCTAGAGCTGTGTAGAGATGTGCATAGTTTGGAATAGCTTGAGAGTGTTTGGAGATAGTTCTTTGTCCTTTGATGTGTTCTTGGATGACTGCGAACAGTCTAACCTCTTCAGAGAAGAGATGAAAGGACTTTGATACAGTCGAGCCGACTGTGATGTTTGGCTCAAGATCGGGATCTACAAAGGGGCAGGGGACGCTTGCGCATCCTGTGTTTTGACAGGTTGCACCTTGTTGTGAGGCAGACGTCTCTCAGATCGGCTCCTTGGTGCGGCATGCGTGGGAGAAGGAGGAGGCGCTTTCAGCATGGTTGATTGGAGGAGTAAAGGGTGCCAGAGAGTGTAGTAAGGGGTGCCAGAGAGTGTCCAGATCCATTTTTGCTGGGGAGACTGTGGCGTGCTGTGCGATGGAGAGCGCCGTCTTCCTCAGAGGGTTCTTCCTTTCGTGGCCATGTGGACCTTCACCTGGTGACCGACTGCAAAAGTCTGTGCATAAAGAGGGTGTGTCAAAGAGCACAGAAAGAGGTTGGCAATCGACCCTGCTGGCTGGCCGCCAGACCCTGACTTTACGAAGCCCGCCATCAGTGGCGGAAGAAGCATGGAGTGGCTCCCGAAAGGCCCTGCCGGCCACCTTAGAATTGGCTGCCCACTGATTGCCAGCTAGCAGATGCCTTGACTAAGGCGATGTCCGTGGAGGAATGGTGGAAGATCTTGAGGGCAGGCAAACTCCAGCCACCGTTGAAGGGGCATGCGGAGGCAACAATCTTTTTTGAAAGTTGTCGACGCGTGTTGATGAACGTCATTCGTTGGTGCATGACATTTTGCAAGTATGTTGCATTTTGCATCTCGTTCATTGAACGGCCTACCAGGCTCAAGAGTTGGCTTTACTGTGGCAAAACTTTGCGAGCATGTTGTGCATGACCATGTCGTTGTGAGTGCACTCACATGGTTTTGAACCCCCCAACCGTCAAGCCGGAACCCTGCAAATGCTCAAACCGAAAGAAACTTCGATCACGAGGGAAAACTGAGTCTTTACACAAAACATCGGCCTTGAAATTTCAGTGGTTTGCGCCTTGACTTCTGAAGTGAACAGGAAAGTAGAGAATCCTCAACGCAGCGACTGTGGTTCCAGTTCCATCATGTTCCATGTACATAGTATTTTGCACCGAATTATTTTTGCAGGAATGGCGAGCTATTTCGTTTTTGGTGATCTCGTTCATCATTGTGTCACTGTGTGTCACTGTGTGTCACTCACTTGGCTCAAGTGACACAGTGCATAGATCCCACTTGACCGCAGAAACAGGAATCCACGTGAAGTTGGTCGGCATCTCATGATGCAGGTGGTTTGCTTGGTTTCCAACAGAGTCAAAATTTCGCACCCGACATGACAGATCCTGACAGATTGCAATGGTGGCTTGGCATTCGAGATGAACCCATCCGGGCGTGGATTTGAAATTCTGGCCTTGGCAGGGTGCATTTTAGACACATGCTACTGTTGGGGATTTTAAAACAAATGTGGTGCTGGGGGTTTTCCTGGATATAGAAACCATCAAAACTCAAGCTCTTGTAAAGAAAGGCTCCTTTACTGCCTTGAAATGCTTAGAAACGGGAATGGAGACTGTTGATCCAAGGTGCTTCAAGCCTATGCAACACGTTTCAATCTGGATTCAGCACCATACATGCATGAAACATTGAAACATTGTTTTATTGTTCAAGACTTTGTGTAAACATAGGAGATCTAAGGAAAGAAAAGGCGTGAGAAACAATTTTGCAAGGGAGCTCTTGCACACCAAGAATTTAGACAAGGTTTATCAACAGAACCCCCAACCATCTATGAAGAATTGCAGCATAATTTACAAGAGAGATTCTTCTCAACATACGTTACATTGACCGCCAGTTCTCCAAGCCTTAGGTTCTTTCAAGATAGGGATTTGCAGGAGGTATTTGCAAGAACTCACCAAAACACTTACAAGGTAGGTCCCTTTTTGAGGACAATGATAGGATACATTTCTACAACGTACGGATCTCTAGCGATCCTTCAGGTTCTACGTGGACCGCACAGGGCAGGAGTTCGGCCCCTTCCGCACCACCAAGATGTTTGCGGCCAAGAGGGGTGGACACACTTTCAGCAGTATTTGGACAGCAGATGTTTTGCGTGTTTGACTATTTGTTGGTCTTTGTCAGTATTTGGACAGAAGATTCGGTTCAGATTTGGAATAGTCCAACTGGAGTTGTGAGTGGACAAGATTCTTCAAGATCGTTTTTTAACAATAGTCTGTTAGATGCCGCTTGTGCTCGCTGCCCGACGTCCGAACACGTGTGGGGGAGATGCACTTCCCCACCTCCGACCTTGTGTGGTGGGTGGGGAAAACAAACTTGTCCCACCTGCGAGGATTTTCGGATGATCCCACTTGCCACATTCCTTCACCGTTGGGAGGATCTCACTGACCTACCCGACCGGGCCCGGCTCTACTGACTTAGGCGTTCCTGGTTCTCGCAGGGTTTCTTCCCCATTGGGGATGAGCTGCTGGTGCGCTTGGGGGAATGGCCCCCTGAGGCGCCGGCTGGGGGAGGAGGCTTTTTTTTCCGGAGGGAGTGAGAGGGAGGTGGTTCAGAATGGACAGAGAGAGGTGGCTCGACCTTCTCGCCTTGGCATGGAACATGAGAGGTGGCCTGTTTGGAGATGGGAAGAACTCCTCGTCCCCGGATCTAAGTTGTGCGGATGAATGGGATCCTTGCTTGAAGAGAACCAGGTGGATGCGTGTCAGGTCTGTGACCGTTGAAGGACCAGCTGGAAAGACGTGCTTTCCTTGACACAGCTTGTGCGAGTTTGGGACACGTCCAGAAAGTTGGAATGACATCTTGGAAGGATGCAGTACCATCTTGTGCGGGATGTTCGCTGCTTGGAACCATTTTGACCCATGCCCAAATCAATTCCCGACATGCCCTGCTGTCCCAGTCCCACGTGCCAGCGCGGAAGCCTGGGCTGCGATAGAGATTTGCGGGGTCTCCCCCGGACCGTTTTTGACGTCCGACCGAGATGACATGATAGAAGATAGGTTGTCAGTCCCCAAGTTGGGCAGATCCGTGAGAGAGATTTTTTGGATTTTTGGTAGAGAGATGTTCAAAGTGGAGGGGAGGAGCTACAGGACCTGAGGGCGTGGATTTGACATTTTGAACGTTTGCATGCCTGGCAATCTTTGACTCCCAGCTCTTCCAATTTTGAGGTTTATTCCCAGCGGCTACTCGACTTCTAGGTACTTTGCCAACACTTTAGTATTTAACATGTATTGGTATTGGGCTTGTGGGGGGAAGGGGCTTTGTAGCTCACTGCCCGGTGTTCTTCGCACCGTCGGGAGAGGCCTCTAAAGGCCTCTCCTCAAGTCTCTTGAAAAGAAAGCAGTCTTCGTTCGTCACTGTTCTTGACAACCTCATTTTTGGGTCGATCTTGAGATGACGGCCAGTGAGGTGAAGATTCTGTATCCGGAACCAGATAGCATCTTTGTGGGTGGACCTCAATCCCCCTTCAGTGCTGGGATGCTCAGTCCGCTTTTGCCGGCGCACATCACTGTTTTCGGTGCTTGTTTTTGTCAGTTACATCGTCACACTGGATTCGCAGCACACACTTAACTCGAATACATCAAGTTGCATACTGCGTTACGAAGGTGGTGCAGTTGCTCTGTCGATTCTATCTTGAACCCTGTGAGCTGCACTGGACTTCTCAGGCTGTACGGCAACGCCGACCGCGCAGCCGCTCCAGCCGCGCGGAACGGCGGCGCAGCCGCTCGCGGCGGAGCCGAGAGCGACGAGAGGCGAAGCTGATGAAAAGCCCTTGGATGGTTTTGCACTGACATCATATGCTGTCACTCTGGAAAGACAAGGAGAACCATCCCCTTCCATTGAAGCAACAAGTCGAGGGATGCTGGATCCTGCATCAGATAAAGATTGGTTTGGGAAGCCTCATTATCATTATATAATTCTTTGGGCTCCTGCCCTATCTCCTGCTAGGAGCCTCCTCCACGAGGACGTATGGAGGACTGCCAATGATCCCGCAATGTGTGTGTTGTCCACATTCCACCGCGGTGGTCTCCCTTTAGTTTCTTTGTACGGGGGCCTTTTTGGAGAGAGATTCGGGCCACGAACGAAGTGGCTTCAGGACTACCCCATGGATTACGACCGGCCGTATGACCGGCCGCCGCCGCCTGGCTATGCTCCCCCTCCGGGCTATGGCTCCTACGGGCCACCGGGCTATGGGCCCCCGGGCTACGGGCCGCTGCCCGGCTATGGCCCCCCACCCGGCTATGGACCACCGCCTGGGTATGGCCCACCGCCTTATGGCTATGGAGCCCCTCACGGCTATGGGCCTTATGTACCCCCACCAGGGTATGGCCCCCCGGGCCACGGCGCCTGGCTGGCATGTTTCGTAGAGAATTGGAAAAGGGCATCGCTACTAGTAAGAAGGGCATGACATTACTGTGCTCCTAGTAGCAAGACGCTACTAGTCAAGGAGTTGGTGGTTCAGGGTGCCGGAAGAAATCTTCCATAAGCTCCTCAAGGCTGCAAAACGCGAACGAATGGACACATGGTTGCATCCGTGTTCTCGGCCAGGGGCCGAGTGGCCCGACGTCGGGCAGATATAGTGGACGGCTGAAGTCCTTCAATGCCAAGCCGCTGGGCAAATTGGAGCGATGGGGTGTGGAGAGGTTGTTGGCATTTTTGTTGTTGGATATGTTGTTGGCATCTTGACATCCCCAGAGAATGTGAGAGCTCTTGCAGCTCAATCAAAGGGTTAATCTGGACATCAACCTAGCCGCACGCAACATTTATGATCGTCATTATGGTTTGTGTAGGTTCTCTGATTAACCCTACTAGTAGCATCCAAGGTTCCAATCTACTATAATCTTGCCTAGTCCTGAGCGTGTCACTTACTCTGTGTACTCGCACTGCTTCACAGAGACCGTGCGTCAGCAGGACACCTCAATCATCCAGTGTGGTGAATGGGGTGAATCGCCGACGTTTGAAGGCACCGCCCATAGGATTGCCATCCACTGAGAGTCTTCTCTTCTCATTTTTTCCTGGGAATGTCAAGGGAAGCACATATAGTATTACCTCACCATAGATTTCTGCTTAATTTTCAGGGGTTCGGGAGATATTCCAAGAAACTTCCGCACTTGTTGCTTCACGCTTCACACCCCCGTCCTTAGCAGCTTCGCTTGCCCTTCGGTTGCTTTGCCGTTTGCTTAGGGGTGGCTTCGGGTTCATCGACTGCCCAGAGGCTGTCGGGCTGCGATGGGTCGTGCTTGCCAGAGCCCTGTCGAACCAGCCTGGCACCAATGCAGTCAACCAGCCTGGCACACGGGCCGAAGAATATATGCTTAGCACCATGAGTGTCCTTCCCATTCCAACCTGATCACCTGATTCGACGATGATTACTGGATAGGGGCACCCTGGTCACATCCACTCACTGGATGGGTCCCAAAAAACCCAATCCCATCCAGTTCATTCCTTGCGGTGTCATTCCTGGTCGTCCTTGGGTCCAAAGAGGCACGTGAGGAACGGACATCGTCGCACGCCCTCACGTCTCAACAGTATGGACACTGGACACTGGACATTCCCATTTCTGTCGTTAGGAGCCACTGAAGGGTAAAGCTGCGAACCCCCCGTGTTCAGCGAACATGAACATGGAGGCGAAATTGACTCCAATCCAAGCTATCCAAAGCAACGAACATGCCAAACTTTGATACCCTCACACCTCAACCTCGTCGATTCTGCTTCCTTTCTTTTTTGCCTGCCACAGTGGGTTCGACCCATACCCATCCAGTGAATCTTGCGAATGCTCGGAGACTTTCCTGTAGCCGACAGATGTAGATCTACTATGCAAACTGGATGGTTTAGCGCCACACATGACGTCCCAAACTTCATGGAACACTGCTCAGTGACAGGTGCGCCATCGCTATACCAGGGACGTCTACGTCCATAAGGCTCCGGCTGGCTCGTTTGCCTCACCACCATGCATAGTGTCTTTTCACTTTCTCATGTCCGTGACGCACCGCTTCTGAGTTGCAGAAGTTGGAGCGAACCTTTTAACCAGAATTTTCAAGCGTACGACCGTCCTGAAGTAGAGCGAACACATTTACCAGTTTCCTAGTGTTTTTTTCTTGATTATTTTCATATTCATTTATATACTGGCAGCTGTCCCGAAGTTGGGGATACTCGCCGATCATAGACCTTAGGCGCAGATTGGGGACCTTGAAGTAGGTCGGGAGCCTGAGGAGTCATTGCGGCAATTGCACAGATGCAAATTTTGAAGGTGGCCCGATGATTCTGATTCCCTGCTGAAGTTGTAGCTTTTTGCTCAAGGTGTTGTGAGAGGTGGTGTGATGGTGTTATGGTACTTCAATGCGAGTACTTCAAGGTGATTGAGTGTTCGCAGTGAGATTTCTGACCCTGAAAAGCTGGATGCTGCATGAGTGGACTCCAGGCGGGTCTCAATTTTGATCCTGCTGTTGCATTTACTTCAGGAATGCCCAGCAATGCACATTTCAGGTTTTCCAACAGTGTAGTAGCTCCAAATACTTGAGCTTTGAGCCCGGTAGTATCTGGGTCGTGCACCTTTCTAGGTGAGGAGCTGAACTTTCTGGTGGATACCAACAAGGAGCCGAGAAAGTGCGGATGATGAATATCCATGGAATGAACTCCAACTGTCCGGTAGACGTTATTGACAGTTTTTTTTTGTGTGTTTTCTTTTCGATGTTGCTAAGCTGTTAAGCTGTCTGCCAGTCTATGGGGCCTCTCTGCAGCTTTTCTGGATCTGCACTTTTCAGGTCTTGTGGTTGAAGAAGAGGTGGAGAAGTACGGCAAAAACAACTCTTTGTGAAGTCTTGGAGATGTTGTCCAAGAATCGTGTTTTTTTTAACGTCCATAGTTTTCCTAGATATCCCACATAGCATCTTTTGCATACAGTTGGATGATCCAAAAATACCTTTCATGTTATACAGAACATATCTATATACAGAGAATCCCTTGCCGGCCCCATCTGCCATGCCTACCTGGTTCGCCAGGACGGGTACCCTCAGGCCCGTGATATCCGCCGCAGAGACGGCTCCAAGCGCGTCGCTCAGTGTTGCTTCGTTTGGGTCATCTATGGTGGCATCTTGAAGGCTGATATTCCTGTTTCTGCTAGATAAATCCCCATCTTGAGGTCACCAGGAAGTATTCGTGATTCATCACCTCTGGCCACTGACAGCCTCAGGCCTGGTCAGAAGAGAGACGGCGGGGGACCTCAGAAAACACCAAAAAACAAAGAACCGATGCTTCAGACTCCAGAGATCACCCTTTGGACCCTTTTGTCATTTGAAGACATCCAGAGATCACCAAGTCCTGCTTTTGTCCTGCTGGTCCGAAAATGTCCGGTGGACATGGACATAGACATAGTGACATAGCTGGAAGACGGGTTAGCAGTTCTTGGTGGCTTTCCATTGCCTGGTGAATTGATTAGAATGGCCAGAAGGAACGTTGCTGTAAAGTAATTGGTAGGCACTTGATACAGACTAAGGAGACAGCAGGTTTCTCAAGAAGTCAGCAGTCGTTTGAACATTTACTAGCAAGATCTTTATACATGTTACAGTACATCTATTGCTTCGACCTCTACTGCAAGACCTCTCCCACCGGACGATCTTTCGCCTTTCGGCGGAGTGGTCGGTCCCGCATCTCCGTCCGAGGCGATGATGCCAATGGCAATGGCCCGGAATGCCAAGATGCCAACAGTGATGGAACCGAATGCCTTGAGGGTCAATCACAGCATCCGGCTTGTGTGTTTCAAAGCATGGGGCAGCCCTCAAAACTAGTTGGTCAACGTATCATTTTTTTTTTTTTTCCGGTGTCAAGTTGAGCACTCCAAAAGCTGTGAAACCTGTGGTTGACTACTTTAAAAAGTAGTTGGTTCAATGTGATTCATTAAAAATCCCAACAGTTGCTGTGCTGTGTTTGACTTCCACATGGCCTTCGTGCCGAGTGCCGCCGAGGCGACGGCAAGAGGCCGCGGCGGAGAGGTGGGAAGGCGCAACCGTCCGTCTTTGGGAGAACGGGAAGGCGGTCGAGTCTGAGAGAGATATGACATGAAGACGAATCAGACCAAAACGATCTTTGGCAAAAATGGGGTTCCCAAGATCTGTGCCCGAGATCTTGTCATCTATTGTCCACAATAACAGAGATGTAACAGCTTTGCGCGAGGCGCAAGATGAACACCAGACGCCAGGGGGTCGGTCGTGCTTGTTTCATGCCGACCACCAATGGATGTGGTGAAACATGCTTCCAAAAAGCATGAGCAGTCCCATGGTCACAACTTTCAATTTTCTGTACCCAGGATGTAGAGGGTGTCACCATGGTAAGGATCTTCAGCCCCATGCCTCTGGTATGGTGCCACCCATGCCTCTTGAATTTGACCACACCACGCAGATATCATTGATTCACTCTTTTTTCCACAACACCTACCCACACCACCTCAAATTGCAGGGCAAGAAGAAGCCCAATGAAGGCAGAACGACGCAGCGGCACTGGTTTTGGTGTCTTGAACAGTCTAGTTTTCGTAAAGGACTTCCAGTTCCATTGGCAATTCAAGGCAACTAGTAACTAGTTGGAACGCGTATTGAGCATCGATTTGGTCACCAGCATCAGAGGGAAACACATGGATGACCATTGTACATGGAATGTGGAATCTGGTTCGCACCCACAAAGCCAACATGATGCAACTTGGCTTTCACACATTTGCAATGAGTTAGCCGGGAGAGGACTTTGCTCACCACAGCTGTCACTTAGGGATGAGAAGACATAGACATTTGTCATTTGGATAGTGTACTTGTTCCAATAGACAGTGTTCACAGACATTTGGACATTGTCATTTGGACAGTGTTCATAGACATAGATAATTCGTCATAATTAGTCATACACATTTGTCGTTTGTACTTGTTCGTCATGGGCAGGAGATGGAAAGGCGGACGAAGGGAAGGCATGTGGGCTGTCCGAGATGTCCAAGAGGATCTCCGCCAGGGATACTTCGTCAAGGTTGTCCTCGTTTTTCTGGTGAAACAAGCCATGCGGTGTCCACCGATCAGCAGCCAAAACCTTGATGGACATCTGTCCTAATACTTGGGATTGAGGATTGGAATCATTATCCGACCAGTGATACCATGAATCATCCATCAAAGCAACACCCAGTCAACTACAATCTGCGTAACACCGACTGATTGGTGAATGCAACCAGCAGCCTCACCAAAATTTGAAGTTGCGACCATCTTACCTGCCTAAAGTCATTTTCCTCGCTGCCAGGGTGGAGGCACACCCGCTCTTGAAAACAAAGCAGCGGAGTCGACAGAAGCACAGCCAGAGGCAGAGGGCAAGGAGAGAGAGGCAGAGGGCACAGCCCCCGCTGAGGTAGCGGCAGAGAAGGCCGAAGGCGAGGGGAATGAGGTGAAACCAGCGGCGTCCGCTGAGGCGGCGCCCACAGAAGCTCCCAAGCTCGATGGTCCTTCAACTTCGGAAAAGGAAGCTCCAGCAGCGCCTGCTCCAGAAGTAGCTCCCGAGCCAGCGCCTTCAGAGCCTGCCACTGAAGCGCCCGCGACCGAGACACCTGCAGAGCCGCGCACCGTGGCCGTGGCAGGGCCGGAAGCGACGCCAGCTGCAGAGGTTCCTGCCGCGGCCGCGCCGGCGCCGGAAGCAGCTCCAGCCGCTGCGGAAGCAGCTCCGGCCGTGGGCGAGGCAGCTCCTGCCGCTGCGGAAGCTGTGCCCACTGCGGCGCCTGCGGCCACGGTGGCGGAAGAACCGCCCGTAGCAGCCGAGACCGCTGCGGCAGCATCGGCGGAGACGCCAAAAGACGCTTAGATGAGGTGGACCGGCGGGTGGCGGGTGGAGGGAAAGTCAATGGCCTCCTTGGCCTGTTGTGGAAGCCTAGACACAAACTTACAGTAATAAAACATTCACTAAAGTCCATGGAAATCACCCGCCCATTCCCCGCCGCAAAATTTGGAAGCTCCTCCCCGGGCTGGGGCTGCCAGGCCAAATCTGAGACAAGAAGTCTTTGAGATCTCTGAGCGAAGTTGCACGGCTTTATGGTGCAGCTTCCCATTCAGTTGAGGCAAGATTCCAACCGCGATCTTGATCAGTTTGAGTACGCCAACCAGAGTTTTATTCTGCTAAGTGGATTTCTTAGCACAAAGGAAGCAGCCGCGAGAACTTTCATTTATTCCAATAGCTTTTCAGGAATCAGAGGCTTGAAGTTTGTCCGTTTGTCTTCTTAAAATTAGGTTGCTGGGGGGAACCTCCCGCCACAGACTGATGGGAGCTACATTTGGCAGCGCCGCGCTTCAGCGACGTAGGGCAAGGTCCAGTCGGGCATCGTCCACCGAACCGGAGACACTTTTTCAAGATCAGACTTTGCATGACTTTGCACTCCCAAGCGAAGCCCGAAAGTAATGTAATCCGATGCGAAGTACGTCCTAAGTGCATAAGCCTGGGAACGCATTTTGGGTTTTCATGGCCATGACGGTGGCAAACACAAATCCACAAATCCGACTCCAATGGCCAAGTCTCCACCAGAAAGGCGTTGATGAAGGCATTCCCTAACATGGTTTTGGACTTCTTCAGTCACCCCATTTTCTTTGCAGCCCATTTTGGAGGGACTCGTGTGAGTTTGGAGCCAGCCAGCAATTGGGATATGGTCAAGATCAGCACTGGCACAGCCAAACTGGAAGATGCTGAGGGAATCAGTTCAAGTGCCTGATCCATTTCAGTTCACCGCACGTTCGAAAAGGAGGGCATGCAGCGTGACGGGGTGGAAGAAAGCCCTAGAGTCAGTTAGTCAAACATCCAGCCAGCCCCTATTGCTCTGGAAATAGGGAGGATCACCAAGTACAGAACTTGCATTCCCTTCAAAGATTTCAGGCTCCTTCACTTGCGTGGAAGCAACATTCCCAACTGCCTTGATCCGAACCTCAACACCGTGGCCTGTGTTGAGCGACGGCCGAGAGGGGCGCCTCTTGTCGCTATTCATTCGCTTGACTGACCTTGTCCAGATTCGCCCTAAAGCAATTCTCACATCCTTCCCTCCTTCCGTCCTTCCGTCCTTCCGTCCTTCCTTCCTTCTGCTCCCGAACGCAAACTAATCGGCAAAAAAAGTTGGCATGCCATCATTTTTTCACGATCATGCCAGAATTTGTCCTGCAGTGCCCACTGCTATGTGGGGGTTTGTACGGTAGCCGAAGCTCTGCTGTAGTGTCAATTGTCTCTGTTTCGGTTATGCAAAGTTTGTACTGAAGTAGGACGCATTCAACTTCCGGTAGTTCACGTGCTATTCTTCCATTGTTCGACCAGCAGCAAGCCTTGCAAAGGCTGCGGCATGTATATAATAGGTTATGTAGTGCAGTTAAATTAAAGGATGGAGCGTTCTGCTCTTCCTTTCCCCCCTTTTTTGTTCTCTGCAGTTGTATGATTTTGGCATTGCATGCCTACCATAGAGTCGTCAACAACAAGAAGTCACCATCCCAATGTACACAGCGAAAACCATGAAAGGCCCTAACCATGTGAAGCACCAGGCTATGAGGAGTTTGCTGCCCAGTCTGTGCCCAGTTCCCATTGACTACTATGTAATTATATTGTTCACTCGCTGAACTTGCTGCTCAGCCTGGTCCTGAAGCATGTTGCAGTCACAGTATAGTTCTTTTTTCTCTTCTTTGTTCTCTCTTTGAAGAACACGTCCATGAAGAACAGTTCCAAGTCTTCTCAGTTCCAAGTCTTTGAAGAACACGTCCATGCACCATGAGGCGAACGGGTTCGTCAGGTGAAGCGACGGTTTGAACGCCCCACCTCGCCGGTGGCCCGACCTGGATCAAGCAGCGACACCCAGCGGTTGGCCCGGGCCGGGCGGCCGTGGGGCTGGGCCGCCATGGAGGCGCACGGGCAGGCAGTGATTGATGCCTTCAAAAAGTTCGACAAGGACGGGAACGGCGTCATCGACCGCAAGGAGCTTGGAGCTGTTCTGAAGTCATTGGACGGAGATCCTTGGCTGGACAATGTCAAATGGGGTCAAGTCATGACCTGGTACCGAAAACATCCGAAAACCATTGAAAATAATAAACCCAAGTCATTGGGTCCCTTTTGTTCGGGCCTCAGTTTGGCTTTCAACAAGTCCGACTAATGTGCATTTTCTGCAAGGTTTTTCACTGGATCGGGAAGTTTCCATCCATTTCGCACGGTTTGTTTACGCCGCTTCGCGGGTCGGCCCGCACCGGAGTTTGCAAACGGTTCATGTGACGGTTCCTGGGTTGGAATGAGCAAATATGAGTTGAGACCTTTTGTTACGAATCAAAATCAAAGGAGATCTGCATTGAATCATATGCAACTTTTGAATCCTGCCGTTTTTCCTTCCACTAACATCGTTTCAACGGCGCTTTGACCAACATATGGCCTACGCTCACAGGTTTTAAGTGGCATGTTGAAGGTTTTAAACTGTATGTCGAGCACATGTTTGGCCTATCTTGAGAATAAGTCCAGCTTACATTGGACTTATGTCGGGCGCAGCTTCCTGTTTTTGGCCATGGTTTCACCCATTTCACCGCTTTCTGTTGCTAATCAAAGCGGTTCCAAGCCTGCCTATATTGAACAATGTTGAACGCACTTCGAAGCTACATCTAGGATGTGCCAGGTGTACTGGCCTATGCTGGGGTTATGTTGGATTAATTGCTGGTATTTTTATTTACACAGTTTTGGCAGCATGCCGGGTCATCCTTCTACATCAATTCTTTCAAAGCGGTTCCCATCAAGAGTTTGTCTCAGAGTTCACCCGTTTTTGGAGTGGTACGTGGAGGGTGAGCCGGTTAGCCTATGTTGGGCATTTTGCCTGACATCTTTCCACCACAGCAAAAACCGATCCGTCCACTTGCGACCGATCCTTCGACCGATCGCTTCATGTCCTTTTCAACATACAGATTTCGACCCAATTTGACCTAGAAGTTACTCGTTTCCATTCATAGTGGGTACCCCAAACCATCCCAAGTCCTTAGTTTCAGACACCAACGGAAACCATAGCGAATCATGGTGCCCATATTTTAATGTCTTTTTTCCGCCATGCCATTGTAGTACCCAAGCATTGACGTGACATACCTACAAAGTATACATTCTTATGCCCAGTCATTTGGATCTGTTCCAGTCATCTTGCCGGAAATGGCCTGACAAATTCTGACATGGACACCGCTACGATCAGTGACACCTCACCAAACCATCTTTCTTCGACCAAGTCATCGAAGTTTCCTCACAACTGGGTACAGGGCTTCGTTGGCGAGCTGGATCAACATGATTGACACCAATAGCTGAATGCCAATCCTAGGATTGACCATGGCGACTTGCGGGGGTATAACGGTAACCTGGTACCCGAACCAAAGGATGTAGAACTGGTTGTTTGGGTTCTCATGACTTGATCCAAACCCAGTTGTATCATTCCAGTCGTATCAGGAAACCTGGGATGATGAGTCTGTGAATCGCGTCCTGGCTTTGGCAGACACCTCTGGAGATGGCGTCCTGTACTTTGAAGAATTTGTGAAATGGATGCTTGCTTCGGACAATCAGGTCATGGTGCGACTCAGTTGCAAAGGGAGATTTGACATGGTGGATCATGGTGGTACGATGACAGGTTCTAAGCTCTGATGAAATTGGGATGAGGATTGGGGGTATCCCGTATGCCGTTTTTTTTTTTTTTTTAAACTTTATGTTGACGACCTAATTTTCGCAACTTGCAACACATTTGCCATCAGCTTTCACCACTTTTCATGATCCTCCGTGCGAAGCGGCGCCGTACGCTCAGGGGGGCGACTTCAGCTTTATAGTCTCAGGCTGTTCCAGGTCAGAACTCAACGGCGAGTACCTACAACAGGACCAGTTCTATGGACATCGCCCCGTCTTCTACTGTGGCGACAACAAGCAGATGCTGTTTTACAAAGAGGAGACTGGAGCTGGTGCTTGGCAGACCCTCGGCAGTTGGGAGAACGATTATGTGGGCCAGGGGCACTGGGATCATCCTGTGGTTGAAAGATTACGTTCAACATGCTAAGAAACACATATGGCACAACTCGGCCCAGGGTTCCGATCGCCCCAGGATTCATTCGAAGCCCGGCAAAAGATCCAGTGCTCGGCTTGAAACGAAAAGGGCTCCACACATGGCGGAAGCGCAGTGGACCGTTTGGACCCTTGGTGATGCTCAGGCAGTTGGCGTTCTTTATTGTGTCTCTTTTTGTGTTTGGCCGAGGCGGTAATGGACTTCGAACGTTTCTTTTTGGGGGCTTCAAATAGTGGATACCAAAAATCAAGGAAACATGGTTGTTTTGGGATGTTTTTGGGAGGCGTACCCCCATTTTATGAAACCACCATTTATGATCACTTAAGGCTCATTTCGCTCACCTTTTGCTTCAATGACCATATCACTGTAGGCCAGCACACCATGTGCCAAGGCAGAAGGATGCGGAAGGCGTCGGCACGTTTGTCCAAGAATCTGACATGACCTGCACTCAAGGGCCTCCGCCAAGTCCAGAGGAAAAACGTGCGCAAGCGCCTGAAAGTCTCTACTTTGACTCGCCAACGCTACAATGCACCTCAGCGGCGCCAAAGATATGGCATGGCCCATGACTTTAGGGGGTCATTCGTCATGTCCTGCGCATGTTTCTTCCAAAAGAAATCTAGAGAGAACTTTAAAACACATCAAAAACATCAACAGATGGCAGCCGCATTGATACTCCTGGGAAGCACACTGCCCATGTTAGCATGTTGTTATGGATCAAGATTATCAATCCCCAAATGGATGGTTTCCCGATCCTAAAAATGATCAAATCTGCGGGTCATTGGTACCAGAATGACTTGATCCAAACCCATCCCCCAACCCCATCCCCCAAGAGGTAAGCCATATCATATTTGTAAGGTTCATCACCCGCCAAGGAATTTGTAGCAACCTCACAGTTGCTTGGACTTGGGCCAATCGTTTTCATCCCTGGCCCAGCCCTGTGTTAGTTAGATAGATGGAGGGTGGCGGAGGAGTGATACATACACTTGGATGTTTTGTGTGTATATATATATATATAAAAACAATATGTATACTGTATATACATATATAGAATTTATAAGGAGTCATTGTGTGATCTAGTGCTCGCCTACAAGATAGCAAGTCCCTAATCACCAGTACTGCTAGCTTTATCAGGACCATTTCAACAATATTATTGGTCAAAGGAAGGTTCGCGATGAAACGGGAGAAATGAGAATGGACAAGGGAAATGGGAAATGGGAGATGGGAGAAGGAGAAGGGATAAAGAGAGAAGAGAGAAGAGAGAAGAGGGAAGAGGGAAGAGAGAATCGAGAAGAGAGAAAGGAAAGGGGAGAGGCCTCTTATCCCTTGTCATCTCTCTTCTCTTTTTCTATCCCGGAGAGGATAGAAAAAGAGAAGAGAGATGACAAGGGATAAGAGAGAAGAGAGAAGGGAGAAGAACACCCCGTGCGGGCCATACAAGTACTATCAGGTGCTGCCGTGCAGCGTTGGTTGTAGCTTTTGTTTCTGCTATCACTCCTCCCACCTCAATCCAACTATCCCAGACCACTGTGAGTAAACGAGCACCGGAACGGCGGAACGCGCCACGCGCTCACGGGAACGGAGGAACGGAGGAACGGAGGCCTCGGTCGAAGCGTATTGGTTTGTCCCCGTCCCGAGGTGTAATGAACAAGCAAGAGAAGCTGATGGGTGGGCGAAACATGTATGCCAGTGACGAGGGGACGGGCTGCATTTGTATCTATACTGATGGACAAGAAGGTTTCTATGGCTGGCTCTTCTTTCAAAGTAAGGAAGTGCAGCTCGTTGGGCAAAAGGCGATCACAACGTCACATCCGACGAGATCTTACTCCCCACATTTGTGCCTTGGATCATCACATGCCGCGGCTCTGGGGACGGAGTGTGTCGCACATGTCTTCCAACACGTGCGATGTTGTGCCATAGCTGGTTATGTCTTCACGTCTCACATGTCTCGCCGTGTAGCACTCTGTCACTTTCCCTTGAACAGTTCTTCTTCCCGTCCGACGTGTCATCTCGTTTCCTAACCGTCTTGGACACTGACCACAGCACCGATGTCAACATCTTTGATGTCTGCACCCTGAGGTGCTTGTGGAAAGATGGAGTTTCGGTCCTCACAGCAGAACCTAAAAAGACGCGGCTTGCGCCCCGAGAGATTGGAACGGAGCCTTGGGTCGATCCTGACTTCCCTCCCACCAAGGAGAATGTGGGCTTGGAAATCTGGGAAAAAAAGAGCTCACCCACTTGGACTAGGCTCTCAGAAATTCGTGACAATCCGGTGCTTTTCAACGAAGAAGATCCCTTTGACATTGATCAAGGGGGCCTTGGAAATTGCTGGTTGATTGGGACAATGGCTGCGTTGGCGGAGTATCAGCCATATTTGAGAGATCACATCTTTGTATCCAAAGATGTTCCTCCCGACGGCCGCTATCAGATTCGATTGTTCGACATCAAGGAGCGTGATTGGGTGATTCATGAGGTTGACGACTTGGTGCCGTGCCACAAGGAAAGCAGTACCGTGGTGGAATAGGGATCAGTCGTCATGATCGGTACCCTCAAAACTGGAGGGTTTATTTATTCATACTAAGTCCGACTTAGGACGTTACGATCAAATCTGCGGGTCATACAATTTTATCCAAGCCGGCATGGGAAACATTGGGAAAGGACATGGCTGTTACCGATCTGGCACCATTTTAGGGATGATGAAATCATCAAATTTAGTAATCGTTTGGTGCCGGGGTGAACCACAGCCACATGTTTTATGACACACTGCTAAGTGATTGACTTGTTTCTCTGCGGTCCGGCACGCTACAGCTGTAATTTACCATGGTTTTCATTGGTTATCAATATATTGCAGTCCGGGAAAACCTCAGATACGTTTTCGTACCAGCGGCCTGTGAACGAAGGCGTGCTGATCACGTGAAACGACGGCCTCGCAACGAGGTCCACACCATCACGATATACCCTACTTCTGTCGCGGTCGTGCTTTGTGGTCGATGATCCTTGAGAAGGCCTTTGCGAAGTTGGAAGGCTCATACCAGGGCTTGTCTGGAAAAGCCAATGGCGACCTCGGCGCAAATCAAGTGGTGTTCATGCTCACCGGAGGCACTGTTAATCACCACTTCAGGCGGAGCATGGCCGAACAGAACCTGTGGGTGACGCAAATCAGCAGAGAGGTGACTGCTGGACCTGAATCCACCAGTGAGAGTCTTGGCTCGACTGGGGAGGAAAGCTGAAAACTTTGGATAGTTGTAAGGTTAAACCTGGATATTGAGGATGGTAATGCATTTTCCCCAACAGCAAAACTTTGCTATGGGGTCTTTAGCCCAGATTAGCTCTGGTGCCATCCGGTGCAGCTTCTACACCAGGTTCTGGACAAGGTTTCGGAGGGTCAGAAGGTTCCGGAGCAAATGCCTGGTGAGGTGCAAAAGGTTCGGAAGGTTGTGGTGTAGATACTTGGTGAGGTTCCAGAGGGTTCCCGAGCAGATACCTGGTGAGGTTCTGGGAAGGTTCCGGAAGGTTGCGGTGCAGATACGGCGATACGGCGAGGTTCCGCAAGGTTCTGGTGCAGATACCTGGTGAGATTCCGGAGGGTTCCGGTGAAAATACCGGGTGAGGTGCAAAACATGTGTTTAAATTTATTGTGTCTGTTGTTCCGCAACGGCAACACTTTGTTTTCAACATGCTGTTGGGGATATCGCCAGATGAAGCAAGAGCTGTTGTGCATCAGTGTCTGTCACGTAGGAAGAAAGGGACCTTGCTTGCGGGGGGCTCAGATCTATGAGATGGAGTCACAGGGCAAAAGGATGAAGTACAAGCTCGCTCCGGGCACCCAGCCTAGCGGCCTCCAGTCGGGCACGGAAGAAGGTTGGATCAGCACCCACCAGAAGGGTTATCATCGCTGTCTGACGTTGAGCATCTCTGCGGGTTGGAGCTACAGGCACTGGCAGATGGGACCCCACAAGGATTGGAACGATGCGTTTTCCAAGTACCGGACCCAGCTTGAGGAGATCAAAGGAATCCAGGAGGAGGTGACTTGGAAAGGATGGATGTCAGGGAACCAGAAATCGGTTCTAAAATTTGAGGTATTCAACCTGGTGAGGTATCCAACAAGAAGCTACGAACGGGGCTCCTGGCATCGCCGCGAACGGAGCGATCGGACGCGAAGCGAACGGGGCGAAACTGGCCTTACTAGGAACAAGAAGCTACGAACGGGGCTGAGGTATCCATGGTTTTCCAGTTTTGCCACCAATTCTCGCCACTCTGATGTCACTTCACCGGCTTGGTCCCAGTGCGCACGGTTCGCAGCCAGTTCGCAGCCAGGTGATGTGGCAAAAACTCGTGGAGCTTGACAAAGGCCATGGGAGCCCAACCTAATTACGACCTGGCTATACCATCATTAAATGGATGTTTCTGTCAGGTTTTGCTAGAAGTTTGATGAGTATTTATAACAGCCATTTGAGTCGGTGATGTCCAATAAGACTCCCCAAATGATATGGGAGATGGCTACCAACCCTTCTTCAGGCTCATGCATTTCGACGTGCAACTTCGATGGGCGCAATGGCTTGGTGGAAAATCATCGTTACACCCTGGTGCATTGCGTTGAAGTGAATGGCTTTAAACTGGTTGGATTGCGAAATCCTTGGGGGCATACCGAATGGAAAGGCGCATGGAGTGACCAGAGTGAAGAGTGGGAAGCCCATCCAGAGGTGAAAGAGGCATTGAAATTCACATCTGAGGATGATGGTCTTTTTTGGATGCTTGGAATGGCGCTTGGAAAATGCATCGCTGCATGAGTGACATATAGAATATAGACAATGTGATAGATCATTATACAGCTCAGTATTCGTAACACTACCCGCGGGCTCCGTGGTGTCCTGATCGGTCGTTTGCGCATGGTCATGATTATCGGATGGAAGAAACTGAGGATGGACTTTGCTGACTTCTACACGAAAGCTGGCGAAGTTTGCTGCAATGTGGCCCCAAATCCTTTGCCACGTCATGCCTCACTCGTGGTGCATAGATGATCATGGCTGAGAGGGGCAGCCGCAGGAAATGTGTTCACTGGTCATGCAGTGAAAACGGGCCTGTTTCACAGATTTCAGGCATGTGTTTTGTTCGGCATGCAGTGTGGCTGTCCGTTAAGCGGAGTCGTGCAGCTGTCGTGTATCGCAGTGGAAACGAGAAAAGAAGATTGTCAAAGCAGCCCTTCATCGTTTCAACAGTTCCGGTTTGATGATCAACTCATCTCTACTCTGAGCAAAACGAATCAGCTCCTCAAAGTACTGGTTTTCCACATTCAAAGCGAAGTTGAAGTTGAATGCCCGCAGATTTTATGTTCTGAATGCCAAAGCAGTCATGGTACAGTGGTATACAAGAGGGCCAATCGAACAGCAGCATGCAGTTGTCGCAGTGCATGCTGTACACGATGGGCAGCCTTACAGAAAATGAATGAACATGTCATCCAAAGAGGGCATCCGATTTCTCAGTGAGGTTCTGCCAAAGCACATGAGCATTCCACCAGGTCACCAGGACGGCAGTTGCTATGTCCCACCGCGCAGTCTGTTCCATGATCCGATCCAAGAGATGGATTTGCCATGGACTTCGAAGACTTTCTTATCGAGTATGTCTGAAGCTGAGATCGATGGTTTGGGACATAGAAAGAACGCCACGGTGGTTGCCCACAAATCCCAAGTTACTCCCCACCAGCATGGAACCACCCCAAACCACTTGGTTGTAAAGGACAATGGTCTTCTAAGAATCAATTCTCAGACTTCCATGTGGTCTCTCTGGGGACAGTATGGTTGTTTGAGTTGGGTGGACAGCGCACGTTCGACAACTCAAGCTGGGTCGAGCCGCCGGGTGCTCGGGTCTGGAAACTTTTGGAACCGCGGTTCAGTTTTTTTGGTGAAATGTGTGTGGCTCAAAAGGCAAGACCCAAGGGCCTGCAGGTTTTCGTTGAGTTAGCGTTGCCTTTTATTTTCACCGGCTTTTCCAGGCAGTTTAGATGGCATCCTATTTTTCAGCCATGGCCAAGTTACATAACCTACTGTATCTCATGTCACTTTAGCGTTCAGTTCTCAATAGTAGGCACAAACACTTACCGTGACTGGAACGGGAAGGGTGGGGTGACTTCGCCAAAAACACTGAAGCTCCATGGTACTCATGTAGGATGCCACAAATCAGCGCCTGGCTGCTCCCTTTTTCCTCTCCAAGGCGTTCAGAAGAGCTCTTCGAAGAACTGTTTTGTGTAAACAGTTGGAGTCTCGCCTCTCCGATGCGTCGTGACGTGACTGAGGACCTCAGTGAGTCGCAACTGCAGCTGGCGAAACGGCTCAAAGCTGAAGCGAACTTCAGGTCAAGCAGACCTCGGCGGTGTGGGCGAGACTGGAGGGAGCGAACTGTGACGAGTCCAATGCGTCGGCGACGGGGACTAACACCGGTACACGAGTCCGATGCTCGTGTACCGGGCTCCCAATAAGCCATTAGAGAAGGGGCAAACTGCAATAGTAACTCCAATGGACCGAGGGCTTTCAGTGGTGCCTGCAAGGTTTTGACTTGTTTTGAATCTCTTCAAGCCTGGCAGGCAGTTGCTCAACGTGCTGGGGGATCACGCGCTGTTTTATAGCCGCCAACTTAGGCCCGCGCAGCGTTTGCCTGGGGCCATTCAGGAGCAGGGCACCGTGTAGATACATGATGATACATGTAGAATTTCGAATACACCGCACTTGGGATACAACTCGACTCTGTGTGAGTGTATGTTTTTTCACAGATGTGACATGTTGAAACTTCTGACCACAAAGTGTTGAAACCACTGCGGCGTGCCCAGGGCGCTGGGCATTCACATGACGACTTTGGGTTTCATATGGCACGCCGCAGTAAAAAAACGCCTCATTCTCCCTGCTAAAGAGCTGGTTTTGCCATGTTCCAGATGTGACACACACACACACACACACACCAAAAAAAAAAACAAACAAACAAACAAACAAACAAACAAACACACACAAACACAACACCCCTTCCAAAAGTCTGGCTTTGGACTGGGCCCCAAGACGCAGCTTTTGGCAATTTCTTTTCCTTTTGGCCTCGCAGGAAGTGGACGTAGATGAGATATGATTTGGATGCCAAGCCTTTTCAGTATACTCCATGACTCCCAAATCCCCAAAGAGCTCCACAGTTATTTTTCCTGGAGATGCTGTGGCGTGTTTCACTTCTTTCATGTTTTGGTACCTGGCACAAACCACATTCCTGCCACATTCCTGCCGAGATTCATGGCAGGCCGGCACAGTTTTCCAAGTGTCGACGACGCACGGAGGCAGTGTGTCGATCGATCCATGTTTTCGGCCGTGTGTTCTTCCTTTGAGGCTTGCTTTGAGGAAGGATCACCCTTTTTGGAGCTCCCCCGAACTTGGTTTTCGCTCCTGAAAATCAACGAACGTTTTCCTATATCGACGTAGGATGTTTCCCTGGACCGAGTCATCAATATGATTTCCCCTGTGCGCACAATGCCTTTGAGAGCCATTTTTCTCGGCATAAACCAGCCTTGATTAGCCCTTTACAGGTTGCCATGCTTGACAGGTAGCTTCTTCCAGAGTGCTCGAACGCTGGCGCCTTCTGAATCAACAAAGTCTTCCAGCCTTCCTCAATCAAAGAGGCATTGACTTTGGGACGCGATCCGATCGTGTTGGGACGCAACGGATGTCCGGACTGCTCGGCTGGAGGTCCTGGACTGGTTCAGCTCCCTCTCGGTGGGGGGGACCGAACGTGGCGGGTCGGGGGTGTGCGAAGTACCTTCCTGGGGTGGAGGATGGACTGGCCAACAGTATCCCCTTGGACTGGCCAACAGATTTCCGCTTTTAACCGGACATTCTGCCATAAACAGTACACAAGATGAAGCAATCATCAAACGCCAGGCAGTGCGTTTCCTTCAAGAGGAACACTTTTTGGCACTGCCTGGCCTGGCGTCAACTTTTCTTTTTGATTTCCCAATCAAAACTTCTTTATCAACTTCTTTACTTCTTCCTTTTGGTGATCAACTTTTAGGAGGTTCTGATTTCATCTCCTGAAGTGATTTCAGCTGCTCTTTTGTTCGGATCTCAGGTCGAAGAGCGTTTGGCCGTCCTCAGCTGCAATGAGGAAGGCGATTCTTTCGGGTTGACCTGAATGAGCGGCGGTGGTTACAGCCTATTATAAAGTCCTAGTTTTTCAATGCAAATGTGGGGGAGGATATCGCAACTAGCACAGAGGCCGTGTTGTCCTGGAAGCTGACATCTGAGTGGAAACGACACTCCAGTTGTTTGAGGATGTAAAGGCTTTAGGCATTTCTTCAATCAAACTCGTTCTTGGACATGCACAAAAAAAGAAAGGGCAAATCAATCATGATGGCACACCCCAACACAAGTTTTCGGTGTGTGTCAGTGTCAACGATTCGAACAACACCGCATACTCTTCCAGCCTCTCCGTTCAAAGGGAAAGAGCCTGACAGAAGTCCTGTTCATGGTTGAGTTGAAGTTGGTACGAGAATTCCCAGAAAAAAGGACCATCCAATTTGATGCCCAACCTCTCCACAACCGCCGCCTCATTGCGTGACCGCCACTTTTGTAACAACAGCCACCCACCCTCACCTGGGTGTTCTGGGCCACGGCAGGCTGGGTGCAGGTGGTGCTTAAGATGAGCCGCCACCTTGCAGGCCCCTTTGGATTGGTACCGGTTTTACCGACGGGCCGTGTGTTTTGTTCTCTTCTGCCATAGATGCCGACGTGGGGTCGGCCGGTTCAGGTGTCCAGGGTCAGAGATTTAGCTTCGATCAGGTGTCCAGAGTCTCTCTGAGTGGTGGAACTGGATCTTGGTGACTTGGTCTGCTTCGGCATCGGACCTCCCTCTCGAGGCCATCGGAACGCGGAGGGCCACTTCAAGGTAGGGCGTCGCCGCGGCGAGCGCAGCGAGCGCGGCCTTCATTCAGAGTGTTCTTGCTGTTGCATTGAGTCGAGGTGGGGATCTATATTTATCTCGGTGTTTGAATATAGCAGAGCCAGTTGGGACTAGCTGACTAGGCACTCATGATGTGGAAGATTTGGAGGATAATTCATGCTCTTCACGAAGATCTGAAGCCTCACGTTCGGTCACACTCACCTCCGTGTCGAAGCCTCCGTTCAGGTGACCTTGAAGCCGACCTCAGGTGCCTCGGTGACGGAGCGGCGAAGAGACCATCGGTGCCAAACGGACCGATGATCGCGCTAGGACCCAACATGAGCGGACCTAACCAACATGAAGCCCTTGTTATTAATAGCTTCTTGCTCCTAGTAGTAAGGCCAGGAGCCCCGAACGTAGCTTCTTGTTCCGTTCGTAGCGATGCCCTTGTTACTAATGGCGGACCCAACAAACCATTCATCGGCCGCCTGCCAGCGCTCTGCCAGCGGGGCATCCGTCCGTCCGACGATCGCCCGACGGCCGCGCTCCGAGGCCGAAGCCGACGGCCCGAAACGAAGGTGCACTACCGGAGGCCTCACAGGCGCGGCATCTGCGGCACGGGCTGTGCGCGGTGTTTGGTGTCCGATTCAGCTGTGGATTGAAGCTGTGGGGTGGATGGGTGGATGAGTTGCACGCCAAAGAGGGAGGTAACTTGTGTAGTTGCGAGACCTGAAACGGAGGAATCTTGAGGGCATTTCAAGACTATGGAGGACGACAAGTCTCCAGATCATGGTTGGTGAACTGTGAGTTCGATAAGTTTTTACGTGCAGCACTTGAAAAAAGTGCTTATACCGACTTGTACCTGCATATCCCTTCCATGCCTGCCAGGCTACCCGATGGAGCCGGGAGCCTCGAAAAAGGCCAGAGGTCGCTCATCCATCTCCTCTACCCCTCAGATCGATTCGGACGTCGAACGAGTGAACCTTCGTGTCTCGGACCCAACCGAGCTTTTCTTGTGAGTCGCTTTGGAGACACAACACATTGAGGACAGGACGAGCCATTCATTCTCGCATTTTGGGAAGCAGAATTTCTTCTGTGAAGAGGGACAGCACAGTCT